CTGTTAGAAGAAAACCACTAGGTCCATCCCACAGCCAAGGGGAGGAGATGTCACAGGTGTGAAGGGTCAAGGGACAGAGATCGCTGGGAGGCTTCTAGAAGCACCTGTCGTGCACACCTCTTTCTCGTATTTGGGGGAGGTGCTTGGAGGGAGGAGTGTCTAATCCCGCTCCTTTTGGTGGCTTTTTAAAAAATGTTTATTTACTGGGGCACCTGGGTGGCTCGGTCGGTTGAGCATCCGACTTCGGTTCAGGTCGTGATCTCACGGTTTGTGAGTTCGAGCCCCGCGTCGGGCTCTGTGCTGACAGCTGGGAGCCTGGATCCTCCTTCAGATTCTGTGTCTCCCTCTCTCTCTGCCCCTCCCTCACTTGCACTCTGTCTCTGTCTCTCAAAAATAAATAAACATTTAAAAAATTGTTTATTTATTTATTTTTGAGAGACAGAGAGAGAGCAGGGGAGGGGCAGAGAGAGAGAGAGAGAGAGAGAGAATCCCAAGCAGGCTCAGCACACAGTCCCATAAACCGTGAGATCGTGACCGGAGCTGAAATCAAGAGTCAGATGCTCAACCCGCTGAGCCACGCAGGCGTCCCTCCTTTTGGTGTTTTCTAGCTTCCATTCACTGTGATTTGTTCCCTCGCGTGCTCTATAATTTTGGACTGTGAGCTCAGCCTCAGAGGGGCTTTACGTGAGAAATCTTGGGTGTCCGGGCCTCAGGGAGCCATCAGAGAGGTTTTCCAAGTGTATTTTCCCGGAGCCCCAGGGATGCTGCCAAGCCACAGCTACTTTTTAATGTTAATTTCTCAATGTTGGGGCTCCTGGGCCACACGGATGGGGTGAATCCTTGGTAGGCACTCCAAACTTTCAGAAAGCGTGCCTGAAAACATGGAACTCTCAAGGCAAACTTTTTTCCCACCCAGAGCCCAAAGTTCCTTGTGTCTTCCTGTGTCTGTGGGTGGGATTTCTTCCATCCCTTTCCCTAAAAGTGTCGCTTTTCCACGGTCCAGCTTTCCGCGTGGCCTTAACACCAGCCCCTACCTGGCGAGGGTCGCGGCCCTCAGCGTGGGCCCTGGAGAACTTTGCTTACTTTCCTGACAGCTCAGCTATGTATTTAAAAAGCAGGTTATTTTCTAGCTAGCACCTTTAGGTGTTTCCAAGAAGGAGACTTTCGGGCTATCTAACCTGCTACCGAGAAATTAAAGATAAACCGGATCTCAGACTGTAGATTCTCGGAGTCATTTAATTTAAAAACCTTCCTGGTACAGATTGACAAAATCAAACTGCTGTTGGCGGGGCGGGGGGG